ACTCTTTCGAGTTTGTTGACATTACTAACTTGGAATATTTGTACTCCAGTCTAAGTAGTAGTAAATAAATAAAGTTAATATAAAATAGTATGTATTTTAAGTGATCACACACAAATTCATTAAGTTGTCTTGTAGTACAGTTGCTCTACCAACAAATTTCCCTCACCTATAGCTATTGCACTATATGTTCTCATTTTTGTACCATCTATACACAAATCTTTTCCAGGATTTCAGAGGATCAATGCAATACAGTGAACTCTATCATCCTTTTACATGGACTAAATTGTCCAATTATGAATTTTTGAAAAACAACGAGAAACCTTGAGTTCTAAATGCATTTTCTTAATTTATAAATATTTGGAAGCTAATTTACCATACAGTGTTCCAAAATTCAGGTCATAAGACAGAATACCATATAAGCAATTGATTTGGTCTTTACCATTTCTATCACTCATCCCTGTCTATTAGAAAACCACAGATATTCCAACTGTCTTGAGTTATTATTATATAGAACCTTCACAGCCCCACTGACACATAAATCATTTTAAAAGAGTCAAATCATGTAACACTGCAATATAAATCAGGGGTTAGACTCAATATTCAACTCTAGATTCTTGGATTTCTTAGTTAAATAAAGCTGCTATCTGCTTATACAATTAGTTTGTTTCTTTGCAAATATCTTCCCACAAGAAACTAAAAAGAAAAAAAAACAAGGAAAGTTGGGGCAAGAAGACATCATGTCAGGACAAGAAAAATAGACACAGGAAAAAAAAATGGCTTTCTGATCTCAAACCTGAGTCACCATTTTTGTTTTGTATAAATGGATCAAATTCAATAATCTCTGATGTTCTATGATCTCTATATTGTCAGGATTATAATTACTTCCATTTGCTTTCTTTAAGGCCTTTCTTATAACTCCTTCACTAGAAGAAACTCCTTGTGTCTGTGAGAGAAACTATTGGATATAATGATTAAGTCTAAAATTTTCACAAAAAAGATCCAACGAGGTTACTTACTTCTGATTCTTTTTCCAAAAATAGCAGGTTAGAGCCACCAGCAAAACAGCTGTGAAAGCTCCCACACCTGCTCCCACTTTTAGCCAAAAGTCAACTGTTTCACAGGTTGACAATTTTTTCTCAGGCAAAGAAATTCCTTTAATGCACCATTTTGGTTCATTCCACACATATAAGGTTTCCTTTTAAAAACAAAAAACAGAGATGACATAAAAAATAAGATTCAGATGGAGAAGGGCTTTGCTAACCCTTTATTCATGTAGGCATAGAAAATTATTCAGCATTCATCTAGTAGAAGCTCTGGAGATGTAGAAGTTATATAGAAGGTGTAGAAGAGATACAGAGAGTGGATAAGAAAATGAATTAAAATGCCATAGAACCAATTAAAACCATGGATTGTCACATACATGCTAAGGAAGTTGAATAAAAATGACTCCATCTAGACCAGCGGTTCTCAACCTGTGGGTCGCAATCCCTTTGGTGGTCGAATGACCCTTTCACAGGGGTCGCCTAAGACCATCCTGCATATCAGATATTTACATTACGATTCATAACAGTAGCAACATTACAGTTATGAAGTAGCAACAAAAATAATTTTATGGTTGGGTCACAACATGAGGAACTGTATTTAAAGGGCCAGAAGGTTGAGAACCACTGATCTAGACACATCCTTTGGCTATTTTCCTCACATTTCTGATATCTCTGACTTCTGCCTCATGTTTTAAATGAACGTTTAGTTGGTTAATATAATTATAATTGGAATGTTTTCCCCTAAAGGCCTCTTCCTTGAGCAGAAGAGTAGACCTTGCACCCTGGACATGTAGATACAATTTGAATGTCAGGTTTTGGTGACTGATGTGGGGACGGGGGGCGGGGAGGGGGTACACAGATTGCACCCCACTTCCCATGCCTAAATAAGGATGGAATTATTCTGGGTCATCACTATCCACACGAGGTTTTACTCTGAGCTTCCAAAAGTAGATGACTATTTAAGGCAATGTTTTTCAACCTGCAAATTGCAACCAGTGAGTAATAAAATCAATTATTTTTGGTCTCAACCAGCAATTAGAAAAATAAATAGATCAAATAAAACAGATTAGAAATAAAAACCAGAGCACAGTGCATGGTTCCTAATATATTTCAACATATGCAGTGACCAGTAGCAACATGCATGATGATTATATTCAGTGACATTAAGTGTGTCATGGGGCATTACATTTTTTGCTCCTGGTGTCTCATTACATTTTCTGGTGTATGCTGGTCACTTTATCAACACCCTGACAGGAGGATAACACCACAATGTTTAATTTGATTTTATATACATGCCCAATTTTTTCAGTTAGTAATTGATGTGCAGAAGAATCATATTTATTTACTTTGAGAAAAAGTTTCAACCAAGTCTGGATAAGAACTTTCAGCATTTTTTTCTAAAAAGGACATTAAAATTAAGAATTTTTTTCATGCATGATAACTACAACATTTTTGTTAAACTCAGTATGAGTAAATTACTTCTATGAGAAGGATGAGGTGAGAAATGAAGAGGCATATTCCAGTTGAACTGACACATCTCTAAGTGTAGGTAATGACAATAAAGAGACAAATGTTAAGCCTAGTCAGCAAATGTTGACTTCATCTAAAGTGCGTTCCAACAGGAAAACAGACCGTAAAAAGAGTTTATATGGCTTTATTAAATGTCCAACACCCAGTGAAAAATGGTACCCTCTAATGTCTAAAGACAGTCCTATAAATAAAGAGCTAAAACTTCAAAATAAAAAAGATCCTTGTAAACCCAGTATGCTTAACTTTAAGCTCCTCAAATTGTTAAACAACAACAACAACAAAAATGAAGGTATTGGTAAAATTTCTTAGCCATCTATAACTTAGTCATTTTATATATTTCTTAGTCATTTTTATTAGTTAGGAGGCCTAATGCCTTCACTTGGTCACATGTCATCAGTAAACCTGGAAATACAGCTGAAAAGCTTATTCTTCCAGCATGTAGGAATTTTTTGTGAACAAGGTGAGATAAATTAGATGATAAATTCAAAAACATTCCTCTTAGTGATCACACAGTCCCTCTTCAAATCTTTACTACTATCTGACATTTAGAAGTATTGCTTAACACAGCCTTAGAACCTGGTGTAGATTTTTGAGATCCAATTTGATAGGAGCACTTTTATCACATGTTGTGCAGCTCTGTTAGCTTATATCAGCTATATGTGGAGGACTTGTCGTGTGTAACTAACTTTATACACATCTGGATTTGGATGTATTTATAGAGTTGAGGAAGTAAAATATAAAATGAAAAATTACAAAGGATGGAGCAGGAACTAGGGCAGAAATATAGTGGAATCATTTAAAAATTAAAAGAAACTTATAGCAATAATCTATAATCACTGTCATTTTCTATCAAAAGGCTTTGGCATCCAAAGAAATCTACCCTAGCTTGTGGACATAATGGAAAACACAGTGAGAGCTGTCCTTTGTATTATGTGAAGCTTATGGAAGAGCAGACTTTTTGAAATATTTTATTCAGAGATTGGAGGTAAACCTACCCACTGACTGAATCACGCCCATTTGTCTGTTGTTGCAATGGAATACACTAAACAAGATGTATGAGCTTAGAAATGGCATTTATATTTTTTCCAGTTGAACCTTGATCTCATTTGGAAAATATCTTCAAAATTGCATGTTTAACTGATTTGGTATTTCTCAAATTAAATTGGAAATATGAAGGGGGATCATATATTTCAACTTGTCAAATACATCAAAAGATATTATTCTTAAGATCAAAACATATATTTAAAAGGATCATCTCACCACTATCTGTTTCTAATGTTCTTATCACATGTTGGACAGAACTTCTTCAATGAAGACAGTTTGAGATAAAATTAGAGGAACCGTTGTGACCTATCTTCAACTCCCAATCATTACCTTCCAGAATAGAAATATTAAATATTAAAGAATATTTTAATAAAGGTAGTTGAGATTTTCAAAACTTGAGTTAAACTTGGTAGCCAAAAAAAGGGAATGCATCTTAGTTTTTCATTTGCTCTAAAAAAATGACTATAAGATAATAAGTTTACCATAATTTTAGAGAAAAGGTAAGGATGGATTTCCATTGTGAAGCATTAAATGTATATCATTATTATTACGAGGATTTAAAGGACATAATGTTTTGTGAATCTGAACTTTTCATGCTTACCTACTTAATAATGTTAAAAAAGAAATTGCTCGCCGAAACCGGTTTGGCTCAGTGGATAGAGCGTCAGCCTGCGGACTGAAAGGTCCCAGGTTCGATTCCGGTCAGGGGCATGTACCTTGGTTGCGGCCACATCCCCAGTGGGGAGTGTGCAGGAGGCAGCTGGTCGATGTTTCTCTCTCATCGAAGTTTCTAACTCTCTATCTCTCTCCTTTCCTCTCTGTAAAAACTCAATAAAATCTATTTTAAAAAAAAAAAGAAATTGCTCAATAGTCACTATACGTGAGCAACACTGTCTTTGAGTGCTCAGTGTAAAATTTCAGCTACCTCAGCATATGGGAGTTTAGCTTCCACACTTGATTTTAAATGCATATTAATGTCACATTAAGGGAACTATAAGCTTTAGCCATGCTCACAAATCTGAGTTTCTATGATGTAAGCGATGTTAGACTGAAGGACTGTATCTTCAATAACACCGTTTTGCTGAGGAAGATTTGCTCCTTACCTGAAATCCTCTCTTACAGGCGCCCTCAATCTCATGAAAGTCATGCTCTGTGCACAGAGGGCAAGCTTCGGCACTCTCCCACAGGAAGTAAAATGTACATCCATCACAGGTGCCTGCTGGACACTTGCTGAAATAAAAATTTTTTAAAAACACAGTTTTTGGGCAGAGAGAAACCAAGATGGCAGCATAGGTAAACACCAGAGTTTGCTGCCTTGAACAACCACTTCAAAAATACAACTAAAAGACGAAATGGACATCATCCAGAACCACAGGAAAGCTGGCTGAGTGGAAATTCTACAACTAGGAGGAAAGAGAAAAACACTGAGACTCAGAGGAGGCGCAGTGCGGAAGTGAGATACTAAGGTGCGGAGTGCATGCGGAGCGGGCTGGCTGCTGAGAGCGTGGTTGTCGTTTTCAATCGGGAGGGAGTCTCAGGCTCTGAGCTCCAGTTCCGGGCGAGTCTTTAAGGACCCAGACTCAAACGGGAGAAGCGGGGCTGTCTGGCATCGGTCGGAACTCAAAGGCAGCTTTCTCTCCAAGGTTTGCAGTGGTTGCTGGGACTTTGAGAGGCAGAGCCCCTGGGGATGGGACTGAGAGCAGCCATAACTGTTCCCTCCGCCCGCCCTGTTGATCCCCTGGGACCCGCCTCGCCCAAACCCTGCACAGAGGCATTTGCCGGATAGCCTCAGGCAAAGGCTAGATTAGCACCTCCCTAGAGGACAGTAGTTCTCTCACTGCAGACACA